TACAGGAACAACTGGACGTTGCCAGGCATCGCGCCACTGATGCTGAGATGGAGTGTGAGTCATTGCGACGGCAGCCGGAGGGATCCGGACAAAGACAGCCAGCAGATACGGATGCAGATGACGACGCAGAGGAGCTGCGCGAGCGTCTCATGGAGATGCAAGAGGCACTGGATGCGGCCAGAGACCGCGCAACCGACGCCGAAATGGAGTGTGAGGACCTACATCGGAAACTCCGCAATTCAGCTGTGCAGCAGCTCACAGATAAAATGGTTCTGCAAGATGGCAAGACGCAGCGGGAGCTGGAGCTTGAGAAGCAGATTGCAGATTTGATGGGCGATTTGCGTAAGTCCTAGGGCCTAGGGCACCCTGCCAGCCGAGTCTGCCTCTTCCTGGACTGCTTGGAGCCCCAAGAGCTTCGGAGCAAAGGGTGCTTTGTGAGCAGCAAAAGAGGCGCAGAAAACAAGAACAGTCACCTTGGTGGACGGACGCACAGGCTCGAATGCTGCTATGACTGATGTGCTTCTGCCCGATGCTAGGCATCTTTTCTCTCGTGGCTGTCTGTCCAACGGTCCAAGAGCCTTGCTTCGTTACTTTCAATGCAGCACCTAAGATCTAAGGAGCCAGTTCTGCAAAAGACATCTTAGCCTGTTCCGGCAAGATTCTTGTCATTTAAGCAGGCGCCGAAGATACAATTCGAAGTTTCGAAGCTCACCTTCTAGGGTTCTTGTTTCAGCGCAGGATCCGCAACGTATTCCGACTTTGAACTGACTGAATGCTCGAATGACATAAGGCAAGCAGGTTCCTATAGCATCATAGGGTGCTGACGTCACATGTAAGACTAAGAACTACCCACGCCCCCATCCCCCAATTTTCGGGAGTTGAATCGCGCGACTGCGGGAAGTATACTCGGGGATTCATTTTGCATCGACATGTCACTTCACTCGCTGAGACATGTGTTAAGGTGGCAAGATGCCACCTGATTCGCAGCATCGGCTTGATTGGTCGAGGGCAGAACCAGCATCTAAGAAGCTAAAATGCCACATCACTCAGCACTGCCAGGACGCAAGGTTGTTTGTAGCTGATGGCATTTAGACACATCTATCGTTTGCTGAAGATAAACACGCACAGCCGACAGTGAATTCTATCACCTCGGTTTCGGTCGATGGCCCTGCCTCGCCTAGAAGTTCTTGTGTTTGTGTCCGCATTGCTGCTTCAGGGTGTTTATGTGCAATTCTACGACATCTTTGCCACCTCCTCTGGCTCTGGGCCTGCCAACATCACGGCTTCAGCCGCAGAGGCAGAAGTAGCGGTGGAAGTCCGGGAATTCCTTTCGGCTGATTGTGATGGGCCGCCTGCTCGTCTGTGGCACGTGGTGCCCTTCACTGCTTGCATGGCACTGCGGCCTCAGATGCAAAAGCCGGGAAAGACAAGCCACGAAGCGTTGGCCTCTGCACCAATGCTCTACGGGCGAGTTTCATGTGACACTCTGCGGGATGCAGAGGGAGGCTTCGTGGAGATTTGCTCTGACGAAGACTGCAGTGAGGAGGGCTGCCAAAGAGTCTCTGTCGTTCCCGAGGGAGAGTGCGGCACCAGCTTCACAGGCTTTGCTGGGGCGTCCTGGCGGTGCATCAAGAGCACAGATATCCCGAAGTGAAATGAAGCCATCAAGAGCAAAATAATTCTCCCGTAGCCTTGCATCTTGTGCTTTCGCACAGCATCTGTGTACATCAGTTTTGCTGCATCATTCTCAACTCGCAACATTTGTTTGCCGGCATATAGCCAACAGCTGCACAAGCAACTCCTATCAAATCCCTCCCTCTGCCAGGTGCCAGTCTGCAATGCCCCCAACCGCGAAGCTCAAAACAGGTCTGAAACCCTCGAAGACGTAACATCCCCCCTCTCTGCAATCTCCCGACTGCATGGGGTGGGTCATGGCTGCGACGAGATCCACCGAGGCCCCGTCATGAAAGGGCAGAAGGTAGCTTTGATCCTTGACAGACTCTTGCCATGTTTTATCGGTTCGTGCTCGTGTGAGATCCCTTTGTTCATCTGTGTAAGTGTCTGCGTTGGTGTCTGGTGATTTGTCAGGTTCTGCGCATAAAACAGGGCCGAACCACGTTTAGATTATGGCCGCAACGTTTACATGGAATATGTAACATGTTGATACAACAGACAGAGCTTTATCAAAGACGCGATTCGTGTTTCAAAGAAGGCCTTCTGTGCACAAGGGCCTTGGGAGAGTTTCCAGGCCGGCCATGACCCGGTACTGTCCGCGGGCATGGGCGTGCCAAAGAGGCCGAGCCCTCGGTGGAGATTTGAGAGAATGCGAAAAACTAGAGATACTCTGATTCTCTGATGCTCTGCTACACAGTTCGCTGGCACTTGCCACTACATGACGAACTCACTTCAGAAGCAACTTCTTGGATTGCCACCTGTGCATTCGCTGCAAGCTTTCTGAATTTGCAACCATCGCTAGGCGAGCTGCAGCCGGCAGGACCGCACATGCAACGTGGAAGTGGCGGAGAAGAACCTGGAGGCTGCTGTCCAACTTAAGTCGATCGTTTTCCCAGGCGAAACCCTTGTGTGGTCTGGCCCAGTCTGGCATTCCTCGAATGTTTTTTGCAGTTTGCGTGTGCGTCCGCTCCGGACAGTGCCGTGCTGGCCCTCCACCTGGTCGCGGTGAGCTGAGCTCTGCCTGGAATTGCGACATTCTATCCGGACGCCGACACTTGTTGCTGGGTGGTGTGGACGGTATGACACTGACACTGCTTCGACGCTATGTGACAGCTATCGGCTATCTCTGTAAGGTGAAACGATTAACATGACATGCCAAGGCAGCAGAAGCAAGTCTGTCTCCTGATGGCACTGTCCTAGCCACAGTGTGTGCAAGTAAGTGCCAAGCTTATCCGTCATGCGAAGAGCAGAGCAAGATGCCGGAGAGTCAGACAGGCGAGTTAGGCCAATCCCAGCTCCCACAGCGGTACATGGAGTAGAATTGACGGCAGTCAAGGTACGCGACCTTGGAGGCAGCAACTTCTCAGCTGCCATCACAAGGTCGTTTCCTCATCATCCACTTATTCGTCAGCACGGCGACTTCTGCCTTGCATCAGCCGAAGAGGTCTGGTGGCCTCAGCTTCGTGGAGTTCTACGCTCCTTGGTGTGTGGCCCCTGACACAAAGCATGAGTACAGTTTTTGCAAGAGACTTCCGCTGTCCCCTGGACATTTTTTGGACTACATGTGAGGTGGCCACTGCAAGAAGCTGGTACCGGAATGGGAGAGGCCTGCGGAGCTTTGCTTCACGGATGATTGCAGACGAGTCTTGGAATTCTTGCGACTTCTTTCGGTAGCTTTTGACCTGCATGTGCTTGGCTGAGCGGCTCAGTTCATGGAGACTTGATTCAGCTTGACCTTCGCAGGACAGCAGAGCTGTGCAGAGATGATGGAATCTTGGTGGCCAAGGTGCTGCACCCAGTTCAGGGAGTTTCATGCAATATCCTCAAATAAGCTATGGAGTCTTAGTAGCCGAGGGAGCTTGCCTTTTGTGTTCATGTGACTGAGGTTGACTCCATTGCTGAAAAGGCTCTAGCGCAACAGCACGAGGTTCAGCTTGAGCCCCGAGGGTCGAGGAGCAGCGACTTCGGGTCGAATTCGGATGCTTGACTGTCGACCGGCTGCTTGTGCCTGCTTGTGCCTCCGACTAGATGCAGGCGTTGGATAGAGGAGCGTGCATGTGGAGGAACAACATCAGAACCTTCAGCACGGGCCCAGGTCGTTCCCAACTCTGAGACTCTTTCGAGGCAGCCCGAAGGCCACCAGATCGTGCTTTGAAAACCTGCGCACGAAGGATGCAGCCAGAGCTAGAGCAGCTTGTGTCTAAAGAAGGTGTTGGCATGTGGGACAGCGGGACAGTCGGGAAGTCACGCGTGACTGACCCTTCCCCGACAGCTGCAACAACTGCTGTCCGATGTGGCTTGCGGAGAGGGCGCAAAGTGGAGCTGCAGGTTTCGGTTTCTGCTTCTTTCTGCAGCTGTCGGCAGGTTTCCGTCAAGTACGAAGGTCCTCGCACTGCTGCTAAAATGGCAGAGTGGGTCAAGGCACGCTCACATCCTGTGCAGTGATGCAGGAACTCTAGAGGCTCATGCCCATGACTGAGAGATGCTCTCGAAGCTCTTGCTGTCTGGATTTGCGAACCCAAAACCCCCGACAGCAGTTTACATTTGTGAAGAGCACGATGCAGGGTTGTTGTGGTCACAAATATCTGCATGCTTGCCCTGCAGGCCAAACAAAACGAAGACCTGGTCCAACGTGGGGCTCTTTGCATCTTCTGGTCGCTCCGCCTGTCCATTCATGAGTGGTATGTGCGCTGTTAAAGCTAGGCTTGAATTTACATGAACGGGCAAGAACCTTTAGGCTCGAGCTTGAAGTTTGTTGCTTACGTAGAGATCCTCTCCTGACATGGTGTGGTTGCGCGGCGTGCTGGCCGTGCTGGGCTGTGTGCTTGTAAGTGGGCGTGAGGCCTCAATCGCAGCAACCGGGAACCCGCATATGTCCCAGTGTCCAGGTGAAGGCTGCGACTGCCCGGCACAAAAGCAGCTGGACCTCTCCCTGATGAATTTGGTACCCTTCCAACCGGTGCAGGCAGATTCTTTCCTGGGCATGGAAAAATACGAAACGAGGGGCTTGGAAGTGAATCTCTACAACTTCAAACAGCCGGCGCGACTCTCCGAACTCCAGCTGCCTTTCAAGTTGCTGCTTCTCAAAAGCCTTGATCTCACTGACCTACATGTCCTAGAGGTTTCCAAGAAGCAATCGCAGGACTCTTGGTTCCCAGGGTACGAATGGTCCGTGCTGGTGTGCGGCCGCTGTGACGGCCGTCACTTGGGCTGGAAGTTCGTGCCTGCACGATCCGGCAGTGCCTTCTATGCCCTCATCGTGGAAGCGGTGGAGGAGGAGGGGGAACGACTCGCAGAGGCCAATGGCCAGCTCCTCGCGGGCCTCCGCGCTGTCGGGCAGCCATTGGCAGCCCTTGGACTAGCGGCTTCAGCCCTGCAATCGCTTCTGGACGCGTAGAGCTGCGCAGTGCCAGGGCATGTACATAGATCCGCGCAAACTGCGCAGATGTCTTGAGCCCCGAAAAAGAGAGTGCACCGCCGCAACACCCCTATCCGCCCCTGCTTTGCAAGCTGGAGAGCTAGAGTTCCACAGGAGTCTCGAATGGCTGAGGACTGCCGGCTTCTTCGGAGGAAATCGCAGCTTGGGCCTCTCAGAAGCCGGTCGCAGTGCTGGGGCCAGCAGCCAAGCCAGAACGGAGTGCAAAGGCGAGAAGCTCTGCCGTGCTTTTTGAGTTTTTCCGAGGCTCCTGGAGGGTGTGGTCGAGAGCAGCGTCTTGCTTCAAGCTTTGGAGGAGGGAGGAGGGCTCTGAAGGCTCAGAAGTTTTGGAACTTAGTGACCATGCAGGATGCATCGTTCACCTTGAACCCTTCAGCCGCAGGAGGCTTCGTGAAAGCGAGAGTCAGAGAAAGCCGAGAGGCACTGCACTTTCCGGCAGGCGAGGTGCCCATTGGCATCGTGGAGTCGACAAGCCCTGCCCTTCTCAAGAGCCTAGGCGGGCGAGTGGTATCTGAGTAGCGGTGCACTTGCCAAGCTTGATCCACGCAGCCATTCCTTGCCTGCAGGCTCGACAGGTTCCGGGCCGAGGCCGACGCTGCCATGCGCGACGCTCCTCAGACCCGCTCATACCCCTCAGCCTCGGACGGGTTTGACAGTAACCATCAAAGGTCGCTCTGCTGCGCAGCTTCGACTTCGAAGAGAAGGCGGGTAGCTGGGGTAGCTTTGAGGAGTACCGTCACCTAAGCCAAGCCAAGAGCAGGACATTTTTCCCGCAGATTACCAACAGAAAAAGAACGCCGCTCCAAGGTGTCGGTTTTCACTCCGCAAGGCAGCTGGCCCAACAGCTTCGTGCGGGGCCCTGCTGCAGGCCCTGGCGTGGGATGTCAGAATCTCAACCTAGACCTGTCGGCTGTCGCGAAAGCTCATCCTCGGGCTTCTCCAGAACTCGAAAACAACCTTTCTTGACTCCTCTGAGGTGCGAAGAGAGCGCATGAGTGAGGGCGATACGGTACGACCCTCTTTCAGTTCTGGTTGCAAGTGCCCTGGCGCCGAGGAGGCCTTGATGTCATGGATAGCAGCGAAGCGGGTGCCGGTCGCGTGCTTGGTCTGCAATCCTTCCGCCGACTTGACTTGCTTCGGCAGATGTCAGAAGACAGTGCAAATGTCTCTTGCTACGAGGCCCTGATCCCAGGATCGGAGCAGACGGTGCGGACCCATGCAATGGAAGTGCAAGACATTGGTCTACATACCCGCAGTCGCAGGTTTTCTCGATCACTTGAGTTTGAGTATGCAGGATTGCGGGGAAGTCCGCTCTGCGGACATTAGGCGTAAGACGTGATCTTGTTGCCGGGCCGGGAGCGTTCGCTCAGGAGAAGTTCTTCTTGCAGGACATCGATCCTGGAAATGGCTTAGTGCTTTACTTCGGTGGCGGGCTTGGAGATCGCAAGATGAACTCCGGAGCCAAAGCCCTCGACTTGCCTGCTTTCGAGGTGAAGACGAGCAGCTCCGCCGCGATCTCCACGTTGCTTGCACGGAATACATTGATTTTTGGGTTGATTGAAAGGGCAACAGACTTGCATTCTTCACAAGTAGTGCTTCAGGAACTGGCTGTGTCGTTCCGCAGTGATGCGAAGCTGAAGTGGGCTTGGGCCACAGATGCTCATCTGGACAGCTGATACTGACACCAGTGCGATACTGACGGCATGATCTGCGCAGCTCAGCAGGTCTTGCCTCTCGAACCTAGAATAGTTAGACAGGCTCCCTATGACCCTATGACACATTCTGCGCGAAGAGCGCTATCGAATCGAACTTGCAATTGCGGACATCGCCAATCGTTATGTCTGCTTGTACGGTGCTTTGTGGTGCTCAAGAGCCAGGTGTAAGGGGTTGGCTCCGAGCTGGCAGCAGAGCTGCAGCTGGCTGCGTGCATGTCGATGGGGTACGACTGTGGGCACGTGAGCTGTGTTCGTGCGCAATCACTCGCACATCGCGTACTTGATTTACATGCTGCGAGAAAGAGGAGCTGCTTGAAGTGGATTTGCTTCTCGTGCAGTGCCTTCGTGCGCCAACTCTCAACTCTTTTGATGTGTCATCTGGCAGATGTCGAGGTGCACCTAAAGAAGAGCCAGTTCGGTGAGAGCTTGGGCAAGAACGCAGAGACCCCGGCAATTGTCTCTGCTCTTCACAGCTCACAGCTGCAGCTGCCCGTCCATCTACTAGGCTGAATCTAGTATAGCAGAGTCGACTGCGTTGCTAAATTCTAGCAGGCAGTGACGCACAAGAGCTTGCTTCGTCAGAGGTTTCGATTACGTTTCGTATTGACCCATTGCCCCACACCCCCACACCCCACACCATCCCACACCCCCACACCCCCCTCACACCCACACACCCACACACCCACGCCACACACCCACACACCCACACCCCCACACGCCAGCTGCAACTGCAAACATGTAATCATGCACAGTTAGGGACTCTTTTAAGTATTTGTGAAGACAAACTGCTATGCAGAACACCGTTGTCAAAGCCGAATCACTGCAATGCCTGACAAACATTCCCAAGCCCCGCAGTTTGCTCTAGTCCGAAAGTGCCCCCGCTGCAGCGGTCTCGAAGTGCACCCAAAGCAAGGATGTGGTCCTTATCCTGCAAACTCCTGCACGGCTGTACTCTGTTGCCGAAAGGTTGGATTGACCCCTGCCGACTTTCCAGAGGCGCTTTTTTTGCTTTGTTGTATCTTTCTGTTTTGCTCAAGTTAAGAGGGAAGTCTCGGCTTGAGAGGTGGCGATCTGGGAGTTCGGAGAGACAGAGGACACCGACAAGGCAGGGAGCTTTGTGGCCGCAGAACTGGAGGATTACAAGCTGTGGTGCCGGAAGCCAAGGTGTATCGGCTGTCCCAGCAGTCCTCTGGTGCAGCTTTGACGCGAAAGGCAGTTCAGGCAACTCTGCGCTTGGAGCTGTGGCAAGGTAAGGACTAGGGTAGCGCGAAGCAGCTTTTCTAACAGGTTTCGCAACAAGAGTGCTAAGGGCTGCTGGCAGCAGCAGGCTTTGTCGTTTCCGTGGCAAACGTCACAGCAGAAGCAGTGCAGAGACGTTAGTCGCATTATTTCGCAGAGTGCTTCTGGCTTATTGCAGACTTCGGCTGAATGACCAAAGCACACGGCCACATTTGCTATCGTTCGTTCCTGTGGAATTGGGTCCACGGGTGGGGAGGTGTGTTGTGTGATGGTGTGTGTGTGTGTGTGTTTTTCTGCATGTACGCTTTCGGTTTCATGTTGCACCCTGGCACGATGCCTCTGTCATCCCTTCCATGCGGCTCTCGGAGGCCTTTGTCGATGACTGGCGGCAGGGGAAGCTCTCGGCAGAAAAGGCGCCATCTGTGCACAGAGCAGTTGAAGCCTTGGAGCTGTCATTCCGAGTGCCTTGGTTGGCGCTCGAGTCAGCAGCATTGCAGGGTGTTCGAGAACCCTTGGATTCGAGATTGTTTTGGTCAAGTGGGCATTGAGGTTTGCAGGCATTTGGTCTACTTCAGGATTTGGGAATCTCGGAAGTTAAGGCTGGAGATCCCTCAGGGCAATTCTGACGGTGCCCGGTGTGTCAGAAGGGTAGTTAGCTGTCGCAGTGTGATGTTTGGGTTTGGTCAGCCACAGCCACCTCGTGGCATTAGCGCTGCAGTTGCAGGTAAGGACGCCGACAAACAGAAAACCTAGAAACGAGGGCCCGTGCTTCTCATGTTGCCTAAAAGTCAATAGCATGAGGTATAGCATCACGACGAACTTCATCGAACATATTTGCCAATGTTGTCTAGCGCACGTGTGCGAGTAGGAACAAGTGTCAGCATTTACCGGGCAGCGTCTCGGCTCGACTGCTGAAAATTTCAGTTCTCTCCCCGTCCTTTCGCCCTGCCTGGCTGTTGTGGATGCAGGTAGCTTGCCCCGTGGGGCTGGGGGGGGGGCAGTCACCTCGTCTCAAATGAGACGCAGATCGAGCCGGGCGTCTTGGATCTAGTTGCCGTCGTCGGGGCAGCTCCAGCTCTCACACGCTCGCCGCCGACGCTTGCATTTTCCGGCGCATGCCTTGCCATTGACAGACGAATAGCGCCACTCGGCATCGAGGACCTCGACGAGGTGGCCACGGTGGACGACGAGGTCTCTTTTGGCGAGGTCGCCGCGGTGGCGGGAGACGGGACTGGGACGGCATGGCAGGCGACGCCATCCAGATCCTCATCCTCGTCTTCAGTCCTGACCAGATAGCGCCGTGGAGGACCTGCTCCAGTACAGGCTCCATTGCTGTGTCAATTACAACGAGCGGCGCATCAGCAGTCGACCGCAATCGCTGTAGCTATATCGGCAGATTTAGCAGTCTAGCATCGTGCCCATGGTTTTGTAATCTCACTCGATCGGAGCATATCACAGCCATTAGCCGGCATCGTGTTTGCCTCTTCTCCGAGATTGGCTGATTCGCAAATCAGGGTATTCCGAGAAGAACGCGTTCCTCAAACCCAAGCCCGATCTGGACAAAACCCTGGCTGCCGAGATTTATTCAGCAGAGTTCGTGGATGCCGACAGAATCGCATTGCGGCACCCAGCTGCGCCCTACATGTATGCGTCTGCTGCATTTTCAGATTCCGCCTTCGCCAGCCCTTTCTCTAGCTTGCGTCTACGACTCTGATTGATTAGACGGCCCGCGCCCGCCCAACCGGGCGGTGACCGCGAAGTGCGCACCGCGACACCGGCACCGGCGCCGGTTTACGGGGCGGTGTGCCCGGCCGGGCGCAGCTCGCGCTTCGACCAAAAAGGGGCCAGTGCACCTAAGTAGATTTTGGTTAGCAAGCCGCAGCGCTTGTTAAACTAAATTGTGCTGTCAAGGGACAATAGGATTTCAGTCCAGAAACATTGGTGTTGCAAAAACTTTGGAGCGCCAGAGGATCTGGTCTCGGGTGCAAGCATAACGAGAGGCAACAGTACACTCGGCTCAACATTGGTATTCAATCGACGGAATCACGCGCGATGCCGGCTGCCGAAGACTGGCCTATGGACGCACCCCCTGACCTCCGAGATCGTGCCGGCTAAACGATCGGATGACTATCTTCTGTATTTGGAAGCATGGCGTGTGGAAACTTACATGATCTATGTCGCTGCGGCCGACGACTGGGCAGAAGCATGCGAAGTGGCCATGGGCGAGCGAGCGCCGATGACCGTGGTGGTGAGGCAGTTGCAGACTCGCTTGGACGACCCGCAAGCGATGAAAGTCCCAGTTCCCGGGAGCGAACTTTGGCGTTACACCACGACTTGAGACTAAGCAGGTTGGTTTGTCTGGTACGAGCCAGCTGTTTCTGAGGAGACGATTATCAACAGGAATTCCCTGGTTGCCCTGGCAAGAGGGCGAAACCTGGGTCGTGTCAGGACGGAACCAACTGGGCCTGCGCGGGACAGCAGAGTCCAGACAAAAACCGACTTTGCGGACGGTGAGTGGGCCGCGTGTCTGAGCAATCGTCGAGGGAAAATGTCAGCGCAGCAAGGTTCCGTGCAGACGTTCAGGGCTTCGGCAAAGCTTTCGTTTCGGAGTTTGACAATCGTGCGTTAGATACATGTGACTGACTAAACCTGCTGCCACGCAACGCCGATATGTTCAATTGCGTGACGACAATGAGGTGGACCATAAGAAAAAGCCCAACACGGCCACTTGAATCCAGATGAACCGTATTTCCCGATTGGTATCTGCCGTGTTCCCGGCACGGCCAAGGGGCGTTGCATAGTGGAGACCCTGGCAAGCTCATATTCCCAGCCGGTTCCGCGACCCAAAGGGTAGTCAGGCTGCATGCTTCGCCAATTTGCTGCATCGTTTCTAGAAAAGCAGAAACTGAGCATTCAGCACCGTCGGATGGTTTGGGCCTTGGACCGGATGCTGAGCTACTCAATGACATTGATAGCTATCTGTCCTCGACTGGATAGCAAGGCACGTGCCCGGCTTATCGGGAATAGAGGGCATTTTTGCAGAACTTGCGGAAAGCATCATTGTCCATGCGAGGCCGGTCGAGCAAGCGATGTGACCGGGTTGTGGAGGAGTTCAATTGTCCAAGCTGGCATGGAACACTGGATACTTTGAGTTCTGGCGGACCACAAGACATCGGAATCACTGGTTCGCAGTCACTGCGAGACAGGTTAAACCACGTGCCAGTGCCGCTAGAGGGGCTAGTCTGTGCATGTCTGACTGTGAAACTGCGGCGAGCGACGCTGGCTGCTGCATCGTCGCAAAGCCAGCCGGCCAAGCGGGCACGCAATGAGGATGCTGCTGAGAACGGTCGTGTTAACAAGGTTCGGCAATGTGAAGCACGTGCTAAAGCGCCACAGGGCTCCGAAACGCCAAAGCAATCAGCTGATCCGCAACGGTCTGGGGGTATCACGGCATCAAGTGGGAACACAGTCCGTGCATGCCACGGCATCCAGGAGACATGCGCCACCAGATACACCACTAGTGACAGTGCGACAGGGCATTGTAGCGTTGGGCTACGGTAAATGGGTTCACTTTACCACTCACAGTGGGAATCTCGTTAATCCATTCATGTGCCTCAGTAACTAGATGACGAGGCATTGGCTACGTTAAGAAAGTCACGCGATCCTCGACTTATTGGCCCGCTCTGGTACTGCCGACTGCTGGAGCGCAGGGCAAAATGGACCAAACAAAGGCACTTTCAAAGTCCTCGCAGTTCACTTCACAAAGTATCCAAAATTCCTGGCTAAACTATGTGCAACAAGGTTTTCATTTATCGACTTCAGCCGCCACGGAAACATGTGGCATTGCAGCGCCTAAAGCTGCAGAGGTTCATATAGCAGAAACGAACCCATGGCCTTGTTTGGCTACGACGGACGGTCAGAAGTCGCTTAAAATTCGTCCTCTGAGATGTTGGGGCTGCCGACGTTGTGGTCAAGACGCAGCTTTGAAACATAAAGCCGACAGGCGACAGGTGGTCCCACTCCAGAAAGTCGATTGGCTTTTGCATTGATTTTCGAGGTCGAAGATGGTGAGAGGATCCGTTGCACCCGGGTCCATCGTTCAGACGTGCGAGGTCGGAGAGTGTGGTCTCGAGTTGCAGTGTTTATCCGCTTTGTCGTTTCGATGCAAACTCCCAGAGCTGCAAAAAGATTCGTTGGCATCGCGTCTTGGCCTTCGAGCTTGCGGACGGTGAAAGGATCTGCCTGGAGGTTCTGGACTTGGAACATCAACCACGAATGTTCGCCACGGCTGAAATCAGAGCAGGCAAAGATGATAAAGCTGCACCGGTCCATCGAGAGCGTAAGTTAGGGTGCTGCGTTTGGGATGCGTTTTGGTGGTTCGCGGAAAAGAATGGTGGCGCAAACACAAAGGATGTCCAGTCTTTGCCGGCGGCATCGTCGCGATGGTGAAGGAGATGTTGCCTGGCGTGGATGGACAAGTGGTGTTGTGAACAAAACGAGTTGTTCAACTTGCCTTTCGGTTCATCTTTGGTGGTGGTGGTCTTTGCGGACCGCGACTTCTTTAACGCGGGGCTCGTGACGGTCGCGACGGCGACGAGCGCCTCTGGTAAATCGTGGATGTGTTTGGCTGACGACCGCCTGCTTTCCGAAGAGGCGTCCTGCGGGGCCTGGGATGGCCGTCCGTGCAAGGGTGGACCAACAATGCATCCATCATTTTGTTTGTTTGCACGTTAATTGCGGGGGCATTGAAGAACCAGCCACTCCCTGTTCGGGTTTCGAGCTTTTTGCTTTCTACGGGTCAGGGTTGGGTGCACTGCATTAGTTTGTTTGATGTGAGCCAATCACAGCTATCCGTCAAAACGACGTAAAACAGTAGAGGATCTACTCGAAAAACACGGGCCCGTATTGCGTGACTCCCCCGAACAGCATCAGCATTACTTGATTATTTGACCTATCGGAAACAGGATCCAGTGGTTTCGGTCACGAGTGACACGTTCGACAGCCTCGTCATCGACAATGACAAGGCGAAGCGTGAGACTATGTCCAATTGCATGACGAACCATGTTCGACAACCACGTCCATGGTGTTGTAGCTGCATTCACCTTTTTCCTTCCCTGCCACGTTCCTTCCATCCATGATGGCTCAATGTGTGTGAAGGTTTTCAAAATCAGATTGCAAAGCACCAGCAACAAGAGCCTCACTAAATGCGCAGCATGATGACAGCGATACCGCGTGCGGGTCCCATGCATGGGTCTGCCAAACCCGGCTTTCCCGGACCAGTGCGCACCGAACGAATCACTCTGTCCACCGGAAACAGGCGAACTAAATGTATGAAGCTTTAGTGGGACTTCACGAGTTGAGTAGGCGGGCCTTTTTAATTGGGCAGTTGTTCAACTTGATTGTTGGAAGGATGTGCTGGTCGAGTTCTACGCTCCTTGGTGCGGCCACTGCAAGGTGGGATCTTTCGTGTAAGAGGTCTGCCTGTCTTCGTGGGGATCGGGACAGGCTCTGGCTCCAGAATACAAGCTGGTGGTTGCGGCCTCGGATCGCCTCGGTTCGTGTACTTCTGCTTTCAGGGACCAGAAGCCGGCAAGACTTAGAACGCAGCGGCACGGACAAAACTTCCCAAGGCCCAGCACTATGCACTGGACGACGACATTTCGATCGTGCGACCTGGTTGCCTACAATCCGATAAGTTGGCTTTTGAGGGAGTACTGACAGGCGCTTTCTTTAGCTTGGCTTTCGTGTCGGTTTTTATCTGCCAGTCGGCCTGCCGGAGCAGCTGAAATGTTAGTCCCGGGGCATGGGGGCCACAATGCCCGCCGGACGTGCAGCAGGCTGCATTCATCCGAACTGTGCCCTCCCTGCTTCCTGGACCCAGGAAGATGGATGCGACGAAGTGCGCTTGTTTTCACCTGAGATGCGGTTCCTAAGGCGTGAGGCGATCGTCATGATTATTCCCTGATGTATGGGGCGGTCTCTAGAAAGAGGTGTTCCGCTGTCAGCGAGCGAAATCACCTGTCAGCGGTGCTCGGCAGCACCTCTTCCACGTCAGGTACAAACATGGCTCTGCAGACATCAAGAGCTATCCGACCCTCAAGCTTTATGCAAAGGCAGGGCGGGATTCGCGCATTGCACAGCCACAAGGGTTCGATCTGCCAGACTCCCGTCTCAGCTTGCAGGGCAAGAAGGAGACTCCCATCGACGGGGAGTTCAAGTCAACGCGGACCAAGGCCAGCTGCGGTTACTGACAAATGCCTCCTACTGTAGTAGTCTAGTCTGCGTGCTGCTTATCACAGTGGGCCCTCTACGTGGTGTTTCCCAGGATGGAATTCTGGCGTTCATCGAAGAGCACCGTGCTGCTATCTCAGCATCCTTGTTGATATGTGCAAAGAATGGAATCCTGGCAGTGTACAGCGAACTCAATGCACAATCTGTGCAGCAAGTGGCCCCCCTAGCAGCTCCCTGCCTTTGCTTCTCGAGGCCACGAAGAAGAAGGGAGGCAAAGGAGGAAAGCAGAAAGACACAGACAATGAGCAATGGCCTAAGCCGCCCCAATGACTGGAACACGGGCTTGTGGTTGAAGCAAGAATGCCCCCTGTGACTGCTCGCTTCGATCCGTTTCTTTCTGGTGCTGTCTCTGCCTCTCTATCTCTTGCTCTTCTCTCGTTCTCGTTCTAGTCTTTAGCTTCTTGTTTAGTGTCTCGCTCTCTCCTCTCTCCTCTCTCTTCCCTCTCCCTCTCGGTCTGACGATCAGATATCTCGCTCAAGCCACAGGCCGAAGCAGTCTGGGGAGCCAGTTGGAGCGACCCCCACAGACCCGTTGCCGACAGCGCCGCTGGCCCAGCTATGCCTCGACATCTGCCGAGAGGAGGAGCCATAGCCATCTGACCTCATATTGCAGAGAGAGGCACTGCAGCTTTAGGCTCAGGAACTGCAGCTCGAGCCATGTGCCCAGCGAGGGATGACTCCTTCGTGGAGCACACAGAGTACTGCAACTGGCTGCGAGGGCGGCTGCCCAATTGGCAGAGTTGGAAGGAACCGGAGGACATGTCTCTTCAATCAGAATGGAGCTTCTTTGGGAGCGAACAAGGGAGGGTCGGGGCCCTGGGAGCTGCCCTGAGGACGAGGAGGTGGACAAGGCGCAGACGGACTTCCACCTCCGACTAGACTATGCCAGTCTCACTACATCTCACAAGACACCTCAAGTCGTCCGAAGCGCTTTTGGTTGCCGATCTCTGCGGTTGCCCCCTAGGGCAGTGAGACGACCATGTTTGGCTGCAGGCGGCGATTCCGGCCCAGTGCTTCGATGCTGGCTCTCTTGCTGGGCTTCTCATAGCCTTATATGCCGCAAGCATGGCGGCTGGGGTGGTCCTGTGCCTCTGGTCGCAGGGAGCTGAAGCAGAGACTGAAGCACTACCGTACCTGTCCGTTGCCAAGTTACTACGGAAGACCGGAGTTGCTGGATGGAGAGATGGATTCACATGGCCAGATCTGTGCAATCGGCAATGCAGCCTGCTTGCACTCAGACGCTTCGAAGATGTTGGCTGGCTTCCTTGCAGTAAGGGAGGCCAAAGTACAAAGAATATACAGAGTGCAAGCAGCCGCACGTTGGGCCGGTCATCCTGACCTCCCCACTGGTTCTAAGGGCAAGCTTGAATTACAGCGGCTGGGGCTCTTTTAGACGTTTTGCTCTGGTCCGCGATTCATGCGTCGACATGCTGATCATGCTGTTTCAATTCTTTTGTGTGGTTTTGCAGCACCGCTTGGATAGTCTTCGGCTCAGAGGTTATGCCAGGAGGGAGGGAATGCAGTGATTACGTCTGGCGTGACATAGCCAGCGGTGGCTCGTGTGCTGGATCCTTCGGACTCCCTTCTGCATTGTGTTTGAAGGTTCAACGCCCGATGCTTTACTGGCCAGCTCCGGGTGAGGCCGGCCTGGCCGCGTGTGGAGTGCGAGTGAACTTTGCAGCCTGCTCTTCTTCCAAGTTCCGAGGCCAGGCTTGCGACTTGCGTCGCGGAGTGCCCTTCGGAGGTGGACGTAGTGAACTCGAGGCATGCATGCGTGACTCGTGTAGCGCCTGGGTGTGTACTAGCAAATGAGCACTAGTAGGGGACCTCCAAGTTTGTAGGGTACATCGGGTGACGTGCAGCAGCAGTAGCGGTCAATGCGCGACGGCAAGCCCTTCGTCAAGAGCACCGTCAGTCAGGAGGGATAGACATAGACCGGCCGTTGCAAGGTGATTGGGATCAAGATCTGTCCGAAATGAATCGAATCAAGATCAGCCGTTCGAAACGGTGCGTAATGGCACGTTCATTGAAGCCAAGGAGTCGGAGGCAATTTCAACAATCGACATCGGCTGGCATCACAGCAAACTTCACCCGAATGTGTTGTTTAGCTGAAATGCAGCAGGGCCGCGCCGTGGTTTCGATATTTTGGGCAGAGCTGTGTCCAGATGGGCGCATGTCTTGCGGAGGCGGACCTGGAAGGAGACAGCATTTTCTTTGCTATCAAACATGGCCACTTGAACGTGGTGCATGTACTCGTAGAAACCGGAGCATCGCTTTCGGTAAAGCCAAAAAGAAGCAACAGTTCTTCCCATGATCCTCTAAAAGCACTGAGTTGAAGCATGCCGGACACGCAGAAACGGTCACGGCCTTTGCAACACCTCACAGTTGCAGTCTTGCTGCCGTAGCAAGGATCCATCTCCCTGGTAGTTCGGGAATGGCTGAAGGAGGACAGTGCGAATGAGCCAGTCATAGAGAAGTGACTGGACAACGTGGTTGCAACAAACGGACAATATTGGGTTTGCGAGTCTGCGGGGGCTGTCCGAAGTGATGGCGGTGCTCCGAACTTGAACAAGAATTCTGAACTAGAATTCGCTGCTGATCATGCCCGTTGGCACACAGCACGGCCGTGGTGCGACGGCCTTGCCACGAAGGAAGCTGCAAATCTGGTGGTTGTGAAACCTGGTGAGACCTGCATTCAGAACTTGGCAAGTGCCTCAAACTCCCCTCCTGGTTATCTCGCAAAAGACAGAAACGGCCTTAAAACGGCTCTCTGGCAAACTCAAACGTAATCGACCGCTTGCACCAGTGCACGGTCTTAGGTGACGGGAATGCACGCTTTCCAGGGCGAAACCGAGTGTGTTGGAGACGAACAAGTAGGCAAGCAAATGCTACTGCAAGGCTGGCTTCAAGGTTGTTGCATCTGCCCGATCCAATTTCCCACCATGCTCTTGTGATTCGAAGAAACACGCAGTTTGTTTTGCTTTTTCGTGGTCAAGCAACACCTGTTGTTGCTCCTGGAGGCAGTAGCGGTAGCGCAACACTCAAAGAAACGGATCCCGCATGTACAAAGCAACTGGCCAGATGCCCCACCGATATCCAACGGTCTGAGAGAGGCGTGCACTGTTTGCAAGTTTGCTGCGTTGGCTTGCTTCCTTTCTGCAGGTCTGTAAGCGTGGCTACGATGGAGCCCGTCACGACTCAGGGGTCTCTTGGACTTTGCGAGGTTTGTGTCCCACACGTTTTGCGACAGACGCAACCAAGAGCATGCTTTCTCAGTGAAGGTTGCTGGAAAACGGGACCAACCACACAGAAGAGAAGGTGGCACTTGCGAAGAGGAGCCTGGGACATGTAAAGACAGCACGGAATGTTTCGAAACCAGGTTTTGCTGCCATGCGTCTGGAACTAAGTTCCCCGAAGACCCCTTATGTGCTTTGGTCATGTTTGTCCATGATCATACCTTTGGCTCGTCAAAGGCAGATGCTGGGAAGGAATTCCTACCCAGTATACGAGACACTCCCTTGCCTCGGGCGGTTCTGCCTTCCGAACTCGAAGGCCGGTCGTTAACGAACGAAGAAGTATACCACTAGTCTAGTAGTAGAGTGTTTCCGCTTAGATGGACAAAATGTGGGTGCGGCAAAAATGTCGATGCTATAAACGAGGCACCTGGCATCTTCGCGTCGTTGCTGTGGGCCGCTGGTGAGCAGGGAGCCGTTGTGCCTGGGGCATCCGTGGCCTGGATGAACTTCATCCTGCTTTGTTGAGACTTTTCCACTGTCTGAAAGTGCAGCCTTGGCGACAGCTTCAGAATTGACTGAGGCCTGGTTGTAACATACAGCACCAGTCACAAGGTTTGGTTTTCGCAGATATTCCTGTTATGAGACAATACATTGCCAGTGGAGTCCGGAACCGCTAAATCGAACCGCACACTTGACACCCTCGAAAGAGGCATAGCGCTAACCGTTTTCAAACGGTCTAACAAATTACGCAATTGGCACGACACGACTTGAGACCCACTTGGTTTAGAGTATCAGGGTCTAGGAGTTTCGGGTTTAGGGGTTTTGGATTTCGGGGTTTGGGGTTTGGGGTTCAAGCAGCACAAGTGGCAGGGTTTAGGGTGAAGGGTTGATGTGACAAGTGGCAGGGTTCAAGTGCGTCAGAGTGAAGTGTGTGAGTGGGGTTAAGCGGGGTAAAACGCAGTGGCCCGCTAAAGCAGGTTCAAGTACGTCAAGCCGTCGGCCGTTTGAAATCGATTAGTGGTTCCCGTTTCTCCACGCTTTCAGTGAAAGTAAGTTCCTCTTGCCTCAGTAACGAATTAAGTGGAATTGTTGTACTGGAAAGAAACAGACGGTCATTCACGTTTAATTCGCGTCGTTTATGCAACCTTGATATTTTCGCCTCTTCGGGACATCACATGCACCAGATTTGGGTTCTCCAGTAACATGATGCAAGTTGAGCAGCATGGTCTTGTTCAGGTTTTCTGTCGGTGGACACTAGCTCAGTGCGGCAAGACGCGGTTTTCCGAAGCAACACCATAAAAAAGGTCCGAAAGACGGAAAAGGCAGGGCAGCACATTCAAATTCTACCATGCCTGTATGAGGCATCAGACTTGACTCAGGTCCTGATGGTGTACGCACGGCGATTGCTGGGAATCCTGCGTCAGGGGCCTCCGTGGAAGGAATGGCTGGTCTCGCATTCTTGGACATTGTCGGACCTTGTCTGTGAGCCATAGCTGCATGTGGCTCGTTCGACAAGAGCTTTCTACGTGTGTCAGCCAAGGCAGCAGCCATGAGCGTATTCGCCCTCGGCGGGCTGTCGCAACTAGTTCAAGTAGCTTGCCCCCGATGTGTTGCCTTTGGGACGACGACGATTACAGGTACCTTGGCAGCTGGGGCCAGCAAGATGGTGTGGGACACTTTGCGCAAAGTTGATGCAGCAGCGGCCAACGATGCTGCGATTGGGTTGGAGCAAGGGAGTTTGGCTCCCGGAGGTCTGCAACTTGTGAGCGCTGCCCTCCTGGTGCTGGCAGCACTCGCAGCCATCGCACTCACTTGCAGCCGCAAGAGGCTAGTGAGAGGTGCGGCAGCGATATCAGCCTCGCTCCTGGCCGTGCCACGCAGGCTTCTCCTGGAGCTTTTGATGGCCACCTTGCTATTGGCGGTAACCCAGGTCGCCAGTCTCTTTGCTTGTGCAGCTCTGGTGCAGCGCGCTGCATCAGTAGTAGTTCCTGACTCTCGGCTTTCGGGAGTCGCCGGGTCCACTTCGGGACCCTTGCCAGGAATAGAGAACTCCACGAGTGTTCTGCCCGGATCCAATCTGCTTGGTGAGGCCTGGCCACCAGGACCTGTAATCTCCGACACTCAGCCTTTCGCTTTCTCGGATGTCTTGTGCTTCTCCCTTCTGCTGGTGGTGATACTGATCTGCTTCTTGTGGCTGCAGCTGACGGAGGCAGTCTTTCGTGGAAAGGTGGCGCTCAGCGTGGCTTTCTGGTATTTTTCATTGGATCCTGAAGATGTGGCTCAGCCCTTGGCATCCCCACCAGCGATAGCATGGGTGCTCGCACGACGTCACGTGGGGTCCTTGGCCAAGCGTGCCTGCGTTTCCTCCCTAAGCTTTCTTTGCTCCTTTGTTTCGCTGAAGGCAAAGGCGGCAAAGGCAAATGCATCAGACGCTTTGCAGGCCGAGGCCTCGGGAGGCTCTCGCGAGGCCTCCTGGGCTTCCTGGGCTGAAGCCTGCTCGGGACAGCCGGCGGTGTTTCTATCAGTCTTTCCAGGCCACGATTTCTTTGAGTCCGCCAGCATGATTGCTGCCTCCTTGCCTTTGGCCTTGGAGACCTTGCGTAGCAGTCTCGGGGCTTCCTCGCTTCCTTGTTTCTTTTCCGGAGCCAGCATGCCATTGCTCGTCGTGGCAGTCGTGATGCTGGTGTGTCAGCTGTGGAAGGAGCCCGAAGACGGGGAGCACCGGTCAACAGAGGACACCATCGAAGTGCTGTGGTTGCTGATAGTGCTAGCTGCACTGCTCCCTGCCGGTATGGCCTGGTCAACTTTTTCTGGTGCCCTCACCGAATCCTTGCTGACCTGCTGCATGCTCGACGATGCCTGGTTCCAAGCCTTCCGAAAACTACCTATCGAGGCTCCGCATGCCTGGGGGCAGGAGCACGTTCCCAGGAGTCCTGTGACGGTTGCTTCCTCCCATGTGCTGTGGAGCAGCAGGATGGTGCCATTGAGGCTTCGCATCCTCTTGACGGAATCTGACACAGACGTCTGAGCCACCTCGCCATCACGAGAAACTTCGTTTGCGAGAACGCAGCTTGCGGGTGGCCTGGCAACAGGTCACCACACAAGGACAATCAAGGACACAGCATGACATGGCTGGACACTGAGCATCGTCGTGGAGGCTCTCAATATCGCAAGTACAGGAGGTCGTGATGGTCATGTACCTGTATGTATGGTACAAGACTTTGCAGGGAGAGGTCTACTACCGGCGATCCATGAAAGGAGGAGGCTCCGGTGAGGAATATTACCAGGGAAAGAAGTACATCCTCAGCTACTCCGAGTCCAAGAAGACCTTGGTGTCGGGAGTCATGGCCGGTTGGCCGTGTCCTCGCAAGGTCGTCACCTGGCTGTTGGAGAACAGGAGCCTGTCGGATCTCATCCGCGGCCGACGGAAGGGTCGGAAGGGAGCGACTACTACGAGTCCAAAGTCACGTCTCTGGAGGATGGACGAGCAGAGTTCTACCAAAACGGCGAGAAGATCACCGTGCGGGCCACGCCGATCAAAGCTCCGGGAGGGGGCTTCATCTATCAATACAGCACCGCCGACTGCAGAACCTGGCATACGCTGTCTTACGCGGAAGCGCAGAAGGAGTGGGTGCGGACCGCCTCAAGCACCCATTTGAAGTCTGATGAAGATGGGAATTCCCTGCGAGGCGATTACGGCCATCACACCGTCCGAGGAGGCCAGTGCTGGCATGCCGAGCAGCCTCAAGACGCCAACCTCCGTGAAGCTTCTGTTCCCGAGTTCTACCGGCACAAGTCTGGCAGAAATAGAGCAACAGACGGATCATCGCTTCAAGCGCCCGCAGTACCTGGCGGAGGCCCAGACGCACTACTCCGCGCGCCGTGCGCTCGAACGGACACTTGGCGTTGGTGGGCGAGATTGTAATGGAGCATTACGTCTCGGACAAGGTCGTGAAAGAGGCGATGTTCTTCGGTTCATACCTCGTGGTCGGGCACAAGGAGGGCCAGACGCTTCCGAAGACCTTTGCCACGCCGAAAGGATTGCCGCTTCCGCGAGCGCCCCCGCCAACCGAAGAGAATCGCGGAGCCGTCGACAACGTGATTGCTCTGGATCGGCGCATTTGGGTCTGCTGCAACCACGTCAGCTACGCTGCGAGATCCATCCTCATCGAGCTTCACGAATCCATGAACAAAGACTCCAGGGAGCTGGAGGAGGCCATCAACCGCTTCGCCAAGGAGTTCAAGAAGCTCTCACAGGCCATGGATCAGAAGGAGCGAGGGAAGCATGCAAAGGCAAGTGCTTCCAGCCCGACTTGAGGCACAGGTCAGCAGGACCTGTCAAGACTCCAGACTATCAAGAACTTGATCTGTGGAGCAGGTCTGCTCGAGCGCGGCTTGCTAGAGCTTGACCATGCGAAGGGGGTGTACATGACATTACATGACATAATGAAACAACATGACCGGGGCGCAGGACACTGCCAGTGCAGAGAACATATCGAGGCAAAAGTTGGTGCTGTACGGATGATTGGCTCATTAGCTGGGTTCGAGGTCGAGGATCTGTATTTTTCAAGCGTGCAATGGCTTGAAGATTTACGTCGGGGTCGGGATCTGGGTTGAACGGTTGTGGCTCAGGACTCGGTGTGTTCGTGTGACTGTGAGGAGTGCATAGTAGAACTTCCATAGCCCACTCGAAACCTCCCCATCCTCTTCCTACCCCTGCAATCCCCTGCATCTGAGCCTGCACTTTGCCCCAGGTCACAGCCCGTGGGCCAGGCGCGATGCGTGTCGATGCGATTAAAGAGAGGAAGCCACGAAACCACGGGTTGAACAGATTGAGGGCCGAATGTGCGTTTCAGGATGCCTTCATGGCCAAACAGGGCAAAGACCCCAGTGCAAAATAGAACTTGAGTCATTGAGCCTGAAGCCCCGATTCATGTGAAGCTTCTTGCTTCCTTAGCTGCCATTTGGCTCAGTCACTGTGCTTGGCACACGTTAGCTGGGCACCTGCAACCACATCGCGAAGCCAATCCCCAGACGCTTGCCTAGGAGCCAAGGTGGAGTGAAGAAAGCAGATGCTGACAACAGCCTCCGGCTGCAGTAGGTGCTGACATGCACCACCCACCGCATAGACTAAGCACGGAGCAACCCTGCCCGTGTGTGTGGCTGGGTCATGCTTCTGGGTCCACAGATCCGCCCCGAGCGAAGCGAAACCCTAACCCACCAAGCCAAGATAAGCCAAGCACAATGAAGCACGAGTTTCCGGAGAAATCTTGAAGCTCACAAATGAGCAGCCATGGCTGCCTTCAACCCCCCGTCGCGCGCATCATCGCGTACAGGCCCGAGAGAGCCATTGAAAGCCCGAGTTATTGACTCCATGGCCTTGCAAACTTCGAACCTGTACAGGTGGTGCCGATGATGCTTCTCGTCTCTGTGAGAAGGGGTGCCAGCGTCCAGCCTTTGCGGCCTACTCGACGTGCTGCACACATTGCGAGGGCCCAGAAGGGCCTCATGCAACTTAGCAGGCGTAAGTCGGCGTGGTTGAACTTGTGAGCCCTCCAAGATTTCATGGTAACATGCACCGGAGACCTGCGCTTTGTCCCGATCCAGCGGAGGTTTGGAGTTGGTTCGTTGATGCTCAACTTGGTTCCACGGATGTTCATGACAAAGTATTCATGCTCAGGCCGGTGACTGTGCCAAGAAGGTGGAGCTCACTGGACGGCGGGTGAACACTCCGACGGTCAAGAGACCCGGCTGTGAGACTTTAGCCGCCCCTTGGTGGCTTGGCGTAGCTTGGCTGCTAAGGAACATGGGCTCCATGGTGATCGTGCGCTGCATCTCTGCGAAGCTTTTTCGTAGTTTCGACAAGTTTGGGCGGATGGAGCCTCGGATGAAGGTAGAGTCAGGTAGAGAGATTAGAGAGTCATATTAATATTGATGTACCTCTATCTGGGCATCTTTGGGCATACGACTTCGTGATCCGTGGAAGGATCCCTTCGCCGTTGTGGACTGGTTCTACTCAGATGGCAACGTCGTAACCGTGGGGAGAACGAGGTCTGCATGGGGGCAGCACATGGAACCCAAGTGGGAGCACTGTTGCAAAGCAGTGCACTACACTGGCTCGGGTGGAGGTGACAAAGTGGCTTGGATCTCTTCAGGAAGGCAAGGCCTCAAAGGAGCATAGATTCTATAGATAAAGCTTAAGGTTGGTCACCTTGCAAGAGTGAAACTTTGCGCTCGCATCCGTCAAGGTGCGCTTTCAAGTTCTCGAGGAAAACTTCGGGGGGCTGGGAAAACCCACATTCTGTCGCTTGCTGGCATTCAGAGATGTCATTAAGCGCTCCGCGCCCTGGGCGGAGACTTGGCTCCTTCGGCCGAGGCGGTGAGCAGACAGTTGACGTTGACATGCTCGTGGCGGGAGCCCGCATGGCTCCTTGGCCTTTGCCTATGCTTGTGTCTACGCCGATGTCCTTTTCTTGCGGGCCGCACCTCTGTGGTGGCTTTGGGGTTTTGGCGGAGTGGCCTAGTAAGCCTGGTCAGCTTCAGGTTAGGGATATAGAAGTGGCTTTGAAGGGATCTCATCTCACGCTTCAATAGCTTGAGGTCGGCCCGGGCTTGATGCGAAGTCAGCCCCAGCCTGTGGAGCTGTACAAGCGGGGGGAGAAGACAGGATCCATCCTGGTTCAGTTGGTCGTCCACCTTGAGAACGCTGGCTCGCCGATGCAGCTCCTAAACGCAACAGAGACAGAGGGGAGTCCTTTGCTGTTAGTGGAGTGTTGTGGAGTGTTTCTGTCCTAGACATTTAGAGTTCTTTCGAGGTCTGAGTTTACCTCGGCCGATCAAAGCCAGTTCGTGTCGCCGGTCAAGCGGATTGGAGTGTCCGGTGGGACAGCCCCCTTCTTTAGCTTGCTTCTCAAGGATCGCCCTCAGCCCATTAATGCAACCTTCCAGCTTTGACGACATGTGTAGCAGTGCGGAGAGTGCCCTTTTCAAGCCGTGATGAAGCTTCCTTGAGAAGGAGCCGCATGGCCAGCGCTTCGGTGACTACTGGATTGGCAAAGACCTTTCCCGCGCTATGGACGAGGTCCAGTTCTACGAGAAGTGTTTGAAACTGGGACGGAGTACGACCGGTGAGATGCAGTCGCTGCTTAGCCCGACATTGATGAAGTTTCTGACTCTATATCTGATCACTCTTGCTTCGAGCATGGCTAGCCAAGGCTCCTCCACTTCATGTTCGAGTATGCTGGTGTTCTAGAGACCACCGCAGAGGGCGAAGAGGGTTCCGAGCTGCAGCTTCTGGCTTCTTGGCCCAGACACTTGGGATTTCGGACCTCCTGTTAGCTCTACGGTAGATTGGCGGCCAAAGGTCTTAGAGAACCTGCGCCATCGCCGCGCCGGTTTGCGGTTGCTGGACATCAAGGCCGTAGCCGGGAAAGGATAAAGACTCGAGAAAATCTTGACAGGTCAGGCAGCAGCTTGCTCCAGCTTGAAGCCGTCCCGAATCGAAGGTCGGCGAGAAGACTGCTGCTGCCAATTGGAAGGGCAAGTCGCGGCTGGCGGCCCTTCGGCAAGGCCTCATCGACGAGCACACGAACTCCCAGGCAAGGGGACTTTACTCGAAGCCTGGGCTCAAAGTCGACGAGGGTTCAGCCGCGTTTCCTATGTCCCCTGCAGGCGGAGGGATTCCGACTCGAAGGCTTCGATGGCCAGAACCCGGTGTTGATCTCCATGGACCCGCTCCTGGACTTCGGAGGCCGTCGCCTGTAGTAAGCCAACTACCGTCAATCTTAGGAGCTTTCTGCTTTTCGGCTGCGGGGGCCCTGCAACAGCCCTGAAATGTTAGCAACGCGTCGATGATTCCGGAGCCTTGTCCACAGGTGAGGAGGGCCATGGCAAATCGACTCAGAAGAAGGCCCGGCGGATAATGCTGCAAAGACTGCCCGCTGCCGAGATCTTCATGCACTTTCTAGACATGCACCTTGCCAAAGATGGGAAGTCTGTGCGTGCTATCGAAAGTCCAGAACATGCGGCGCTTCCATCCTTGCCGATCCTCGCTGCTGCACGCGCGTACATTCAGTCAAGACGGGCATCCCTCCTTTGCTTTTCAAGTCTTTTGAGCCTCCCGGCCAGTCGGTTTTTCGGATCATCTCCTTTCTTCTCTTCAACATTTGTTTCTCAAGAAGGCGCCTCTGTTACGGCCAAGGCACCACTATGCAGAGCCTGGAGCCTCTGTGGTGCTCTGTGGAACCGAGTTGCTGGAGGCCTCTGCGCATTTAAAGATGCTCTACTTGGACCGGGGAGTCCGTTTCAGTTGAATCATGAGCTTTTGATGACGTTCCGATCTTGCAACGCGGCATTGCCTTGCGGATATTGCATGCCACAAACCGCGTGGGAATCTCGAATTCTTGAGCTCTTCTAACCTCGTGCATGGTCCGGCTCCAGTGGAGGTCGTCCTGTCGGAGATTTGCAAACAGCAGCTGGGCAGAATCCTGGGCGTTGGATTGGAAGAGACACAAGCAAGCTTTTCGGGCCCCTTCTGCATAGTTGACGGAAGAGATGTCCAGGTTGTGTTCAACATGAGACCCCAAGATATCAACACGCAGCTGAGGTGTTTCATTTACAGTTCATGCTGGGGCGCAAAAATAAAAAGTAGGTAATTGCGAAGTCGGGACTCGGCAGGTTGTCAAGCAGCTTCGGAATGCTCCCTACTCGTCCCATCCCGTATTTCCCCGTGCATCGGAATGCCCCCAGATTTTGCCAAAGTTCCAAAGTTTCCAGAGTTCAAAGGCTGGTTCAACTGGCCATGGCCTGCCGGAAGTGCGAGGCCCCTCAGCCGCTCGGCTCCGAACACTGCAAACCATGGCCGGCAAGAGGCTTCAGGTTGCTTCAGTTTGAGTACTGGTGCACCCATGAAGTCTCCACGAAAGCAAGGGCAGGCGTGCGGTAGCCATAATATCAGCCGTGCCGACGACAACGACAATAAACTACGGAAAGAGCTGTGCATGTGGCCAAGACGCGGATTGGTTCCAGCCCACAGGAAGTGGATTGGCAGCTCTGTTGCGCTGGGCTTTGACGATGCCTTCGGCAAAGATCAAGTGCCGGGCCCGAATGGCTTGACAGATTTCTCTTCTCAGACTCCCGAGACCTAAGCAGAAGCCACAGCTACGGTAAGGCCCATGTGGATGGCCGTGGGTTTGGCACCGCTGAAGTGGCGCTGCGCAAGTCAGTACTGGCCACCCGCCGAAAGATGAGGAAGCACCGCAGTCCATGGTCGTTAGCAGCTTTAGCAGAGCTTTAGCAGCGGCGACAAAAGGGCACCATCAGCCTCTCCTCTGAAGGTCAAGATCTTCGACTGGGGCAGGCCGGTCATAGCGTCTACTGACTGAAGCTCAGTGGACCGCTGCCAGTGAAGCTGAAGCTCTCCTTGAGCGGCCCCAAACTAGAAGGTTTCTTCTCGAAACGGTGCACGGCATGCAGGTCCGAGCTGAACACGCTGCGCGATCACCCGGAGCTTACGCCGGAAGAGCAGAATGATAGGCTGTACTTTTGGCGGCTCTACGTCGGAGGTATCGACCGGCCGGGTGTCCCAGCCTTGTAGAAAGCTTGAGACTGAAACTTGATAGTTGTGGCAGGTACTTGGTCGTCTTTATGGCCCAAGATCTGTGCAGACATGGATAAGCTTCAGGATAGTAGTAGCGAATTCACAAGTGTTCGCTGTTCCGCAATCTTCAGGAAGCATGGGGCACTGAGCCTCTTAGGTTGCCCCAGCCGGGCCCGAGCAATTACAGTAATGTCATGTCAATGTCGATCCTTGAGACTGCCAAGGCTGGCATGGGAAGCCGTGCGGGCATACCGACACCGCCACTTGCCAACTGTGCAGTATCCAGGATGACATTGCCTTCCAGCATCCACTTTGGGATGGGCGGGTGAGAAAATCAAACCTATCATCATCCTTCAAAGGGCACACTTGTGCCCGACTGCGGTAGTAACCCCCACCTCCAAAACGTCTGCATGTCCTGCACATCACTCAGCGCGGGCTTATTCGAGATGTTACGCGACAAGCTGACTCATCATTCCCACCCGCCCTCCAGGTAGCGCCTGCTTTCATGCTGGTTGGTGCAGCATCTCGTGCAGCGACTTCGTAGGCAGCCTTTGCTTCACATTGTTCGCTGAAGTTTGGCTTACCGTAGCACGGCAACTACGGTAAGCCAAGCTTCAGCGGACAATGTGACGCAAAGCCTGCCTACGAAGTCGCTGCACGAGATGCTGCACCAACCAGCATGAAAGCAGGCGCTACCTGGAGGGCGGGTGGGAATGATGAGTCAGCTTGTCCGAAGGTTGTTGTGGCTGAAAGTCAGATCTTGAGCTTCAGATGTTGAGCTTAAAGTTTGAAGACAAACTCAAAGACAAGCCACAAGGCTTCGGCAACCCTCACGGATGGCAGCGAGTGCAACTGGCTGTCTACGACTTTGACTCCCTGACGGAAAGCGATTTTATGGGCCAGGCAGGATTGGGTGAGCATTGAGGCACATGTTTGGCCGTCTCGGAAGCTCCGTACCAGTAAGCGCAGGTCACAGTCGATTTGGTAGACATGGCCGAGACGACCGTGCCGCTGCTTTCCGCCAAGCGGGAACCTGTGGTGGGCAAGGCCCTGTCGCTTACGGAGTGTCGGTTCCCCTGTTGAAGCGAACCTATGCCTCTGACCTATGCAATGCTATGCACGTATCAGGCAATACTTTCCATGTCAGGATGGCAACGCGACCATCACGTTTTCCATCAGGTGGCAGAGGCGCCGGTGTGCACGGACATATTTTATTCCCGGAGCCCTGCAGAACCAACCAGCAAATAGGCGAGAAGAGTAGTGAGGCCAGACCTGGATGCATCAATGAAGTTAGGAGCGAAGCTTCTTCGCTGCTTGACCTTCATCGCGTTTAGTCTTTTGCCGGCGTTTATTCTTTTGCGACCTCCCCGTGTTTGCGTATTCCTGGCTGGCCGGCTGGCTGGCTGGGTGACTGAGTCCAGCGTGCACTGAGAGCACCTGCAACACAACATCGCAGGCACGAGCCAAGCTCCAGGCTCCAGGGGGCATGGCAAGTTCGAGTCATCTCAGCCAGCAACTTGCCCGTGCCGAGGGCTCAGCGGGCTCAGATCGCGGTTAGATTCGGTTAGGTGCGGATGCCACAGGTTCCAGTCACGCTCCCTTGCAACTGCCAACCATTCTGCAAAGGTGCGATGGCTTCTGGGCTTCTATCTCCCCGGCTTCCTCTCGAGCGCTCGGAGGATTTTCTGACCCATTTGTACATATCACTGCCATGAGTGATGACCACGCTTATCGCTTCAAGCAGAGCGCCTCATCGGCATTAGGGTTTTCGCTGAAGGGGCAGAGGGTGTTTGCGGAAGCAGTTTCAGCCGAGCTGAGGGTGTCGGCTTGCCGAGTGCCTGTCTTGATGTTCGGATCGCTCAGGTACCAGCATCAAGGTCAAAAACCTGCACCCGGCTGCTTGGCTGCATGGTACAGTACTATCACATCACTACGTGTCGCTGAATCACGGCAGCTTCGTTTCAGAAGTGTGGACCTCTGCCGACCCCTCCAAGCAACAAGCTCCTCCAAACCGACGGGGTTGGTACACATGCAAAAAGAGCATCTGCCGCCGACGCCACGATAAGGAATGGAATGAGACCTTCGAGCTTCCAGTCGCGCGTGCCGAGCATGCCGCACCGGAGGTGGGCACTCCGGGAGCACCCCTGCAGTCAACCCAACGAGAGGTTTGGAGATTTCGTCCAGAGCCGAAGCGTGGCGACCTCAAACCTCAATCACCCGAGCTTGGCAAGCACAATGCCAGGTTATCATTGGCTCTCCCAAAGTCGTCGACTTCCCACCCGAAGCTCGCCTCGATAGATGATGTTTAGATTGTGTCCCGCTGCATCTGCATGTCAGATGCCACCGAGGACCTTACCCTCCCTGCCGTGTGCTACACCGTGGAGGACAGCAAGGTCGCTGGTGTGGTTGTCAAAAGTACTGTACAGGGAACATGATAATATGAGGTGAGCTTGGTGAGTGGGCTCCTTAGGAATGCTGGTGAGTGTACATTTTGGCTGTTGTTTTGGGTAGCAATAAAGACCAAACTGCACCTGGACTGGCCGAGTGAGTTTTGAGTTGCCTTAAGATAGGGAATCGTAGTGGTTTTGCTGATGGGACCTGGCATCTCGCGAACGTGAGTGACGTGTGTGAATTCTGTGCGGTGATCACAGTGGCAGTTAGGCATGCTGGCAAGTAGTCCTCAGGGATCAAGACTATCCCACGGCCTATGCCAAGCTTGCAAGGTCGAAACAGAAGCCATGACCCTCTGGAGGAAAATGCTGAACACTATCTGTGACAAGGCTGCAACATTTTCACATTGCGAAAACCATTGTTGAACCATTGGGGGGCTAGGTGTGCTTGGACGGAGCACAGCGTTCACACACTGTGGCGAAGTTGAGTGGATTTGAGAGGCTTCGCCTGCTTGCAGTGTGTGTGTGTGTGTGTCTATGTCCAAGGTGGCCGGCAATTCCACAGTTTCCTGGTTTGAGGGCACTCGGAAGGATGACAAAAAGGGACGAACTCTTTGCATCGAAGTGGAGGTCATCAGATTTTTCGCACACTGCTTGGCTATGCTTGGCTCGGCTCCTCGGATCCCCCTCCTTGGCCTTGGGACCTGTCCTAGGCCCCTTACGTAGAAACTTTGCTGAATCCAGCCCGCGCTTAGTTGCACTACAGAGCGCGTTGCTTCCTGCCTGGCCAAGCCAGACAACGTGCCGGAACGGGGAGAAACGGATTCGCCTGCTGTCTTGGGCGCTTGAGGGCGAAAGCATCTTTTGAGCTTGTCTCGACAGTATCTTTTTCACCCTTCCGGAACTGAATCTTCATGGCCCTAGCAGGGCTCCGGACTCTGGCTCTTCGACGACAGCACTGACCCGGCAAGCCGCGGGCAGGCGCATGTCGGAGTGTGAATGATCTTCAGTCTCGTTCCGTCATGCGTCGTTCCGAATCACGGCCTAAACATTTGACCTGTCAGGTATTTCAGAGTCAAGGGTAGCTTTTCAGAGAGGGGTTCGCGATGGTTAGCGTTTGCTTTTCTTGGTTCAAGCATCGGATAATACGCTTTCGTCTTGCAGGGAATAATGAGTCCCAAACGGCTTTGGCATGTTGTTCATGGAGTTTGAGCTTTGTGGAGAACTGCTGACGACGTTTCGGTATAGCTTTACAAGCCAGGAGCTCATCGAGGACATGCTCCAGTCCCGCAAGGGGTACGCCTTGGTCCAGGCAACCGGGTGACACCGTGCGCAGTGAACACCACCGGTCATGAATCACCGGCCCACAGCCACCAAAACATCTTCATGTTTGTTATGAGACGATTCCTTCAGCTTTCTTTAGATGGCTTTTTTGAGTGTCCTTCAGGTTGCCAACCTCGGCCTCCTGTTGTCTCCTGATGGCAGCCTGGAGCCCATGAGTGTGACATCGCAGTACATGGCGATGACCAGTGTTGCAGAGCCCCTGCCTTTCTACCCTGCACCGCACTCGCACAAGGTGCGAGAGCAGTTCGACAAGTGAAGTCCAAGGCTGCTTTTGCCACTCTGCCACATTTGATGCCTTCAGTATCCTTTCGTCCTTCTGACCGGCGCTTACGGACTTACGGGGCCCATGCCCGAAGGGCATTCAGGGCCTATCAGGGCCTCAGCCGTAATTGCCATTTTGACCGTCAGCCAAGGTGTCTGAGCTCGCTACCAAGACGAAAGACACAGGAGCAGGCAGCTCAGGTTTCCTAGCACGTGTTTTGCCTCGGTGAGCCCATCTTGGAATCTTGCTCCAGATGAGCTAAATTGCAGCTAAAAGTATGCTACAAAAGTAATGTGGCAAGCCACCATGACTCCGTGGCCACCAGAACATTTGCGCAAGGCTGCAGCTTCTGCTGGTGTGTTGCCATGCCCAGCGGATGCCAACCTATACAGCTGCAAGGCTAGGTTTGCCGTGGTGCACAAAATTCGCCTTGCAAAGCAGGTCGGGGATCGGGTGTATCTCGGCTGCGGCTACATACGGCTACTAGGAGCAGATCTTGAAGTTTCCGATCGACTGTGAATGGCTCGGGGATGTACTTACTTTGTACATGTACTTGGGTGCCGCTAGCCGGCTCGAGATGTACGTGCAGAATTTTACGTGTGCAGGCATGGTGCGAGGGCGTGGTACCAGGCCTACATCCGCAATCCTTGCAACTCCTCTCAGTTCCGGTGTGAGCTGCACGCAGTTCGGACACTGGTAGTTCTCTGAAACCGAGTCGGTTGGAGCGTGTTGAAGCCTTGCCAGGCCAGACCGTGAAGTCCACACTGGGGGGAAAGCGCTTCCCCCAGAGTTGTGGGAAGCCGGACGGACAGCCGTACTCGGATCCAGAAGATCTGCTTCCCTTCTCCGGTGAGCCTGCCCAGGAAGTGCTCCGAACTTCCCGCCACTGCGCTGGTCCGGGACCAGCCATCCTGCACGGCTCTCACTCACCGCAGGAGGGCGCACTTCGTGGCATCGGGTTGGGCGAACCAGGTATTCCGGCAACATGTGAGGCATGTCAAGACAGCCAGCAGCCAGCTATTGCGCAGGTTTTGTCATCAATGTGTTGCATGTACAAGTTCAGAACGGGCGATCAAAACAGTTTGAGCTAAGGCATGTGCTACGATGCCGAGTACAAAGTGCAGCTGGCAATGTGCGTGAGCACCTGCCCAGGTGCAACGCGACCAATCTGAACTGAATGGGTGGGATGACGGGAGCTGTACGACGTACGGCTTTGATTGCTGAGTGTCTCCCCGAAGTTGCGGAAGGCCGTGGTCCGGCACCAGCAAAGGAAGAGCAAGGTGGGAGGGGACGAGAAGCATGTCTTCAACATTTGCTGAGCGAGAGAGAGCAGATGGTCAAACGTAACCCTTGATCTCCATTCACGAAGTCGAAGGCTGTGCTTCAATGAAAATCGTTTTGCCACCTCATGGAAGACCGCCCGTGCTGAGAAAGCCTGAGACCCCAAGCCATCGTATTCTGGCATTTGCAGCTTCAGAGGCGGGACCTGTGCCGCTGGAGATTCCTCCTGCAGAGCCCAGGGGTCAGGCCACCAAGCGACCTAAAAGTTGGGCGTTTGCTGAAGCATCTGGAAGCCACTTGTTCCTGGATCAGAGCTGGCTTTAGTGTCAGTGTAGCTTCACCGATCTACGAAGAATGGGCCGAATGAAACGGGACCTGAATCCCTGTTCGGGTCCTGCTGTGGCAGCTTTCTGGCTCAGGCGCCCGCCGCTTCCTCCTTTACGACACAAAGTACGGTGAGGGTTTCAACCTCCAACGTGAGGCCACAGGGAAGGTGGAAACAGTTGCTTTCCCACAACTGACGTTGGGTTTATTGCAGGCTCGGTAGCCAGCGAGTCGTTTGACGCAGCTCGAGATGTTGGAAAGCCACGATGAACGGGACTGGAACGACTTTCACAAAAGAAGCGTCCTGGAGCGTTGTCTCAGTTACTCTCAGTCAGTGCAGTCCGTGGCTATGTTGGTCCTCACAGGTTTATCCTCGAGCTGGCTGGATCGTTGCAGAGGCCAACAAGGCCGTGGACTCGAACCGTCCTTGTGCACGAGCCGCAAAACCCAAGCCTAAAGCATCGCATGTCAGAAGAGCCTCGACTCGGTAGATCTGGCACAGCATGCAAAGAATGAATCTGTTGCTCAAGACTCACTGCGAAGCTGCCGCAGCAGAGCACGGCATGGTCACGAGCCAAACTTCACCACGAGCTTCGGAGTCTGCCGTATGAGGCTTTGACAGCCAAATGCGGATCCAAAAGTGACGGCGATTGCCCTTGAGCTCAGCCTTCCTGCAGCCCTGCATGTCCTCAATGCCGATGAGTGACCGCTTTTGAGCTTTCGTCTTGTGCTGCTTCTGCCCAGGTGCTCGGTGGGTTCTCGTCCTACCACCCTGGTGCCAGGCACATGGGGTCGTGTAGAAGCCCGAAGGGGTCCGTTGGAGCCATCACGTTTAGGCTGGCAAGGACATCCCCCTGCATTTAAGTCACGACGCAATGGATGTGCATCTATGGAACTAAGCGAGTCAGGGATGGGTTACCATGCCATCCTGAAAGTGCGAGGTTGCACATTGGTGGACGGGTCCGGAGCACGTCAAGCACCGAGCAGAGGGAGCAATCGTCAGAAGCAATGCAGGGACTTGCCAGACTCTGAAGTCCTTTTTGTTTCAAGGCCCGAAGTGACTGTGGGGAAGAGTTTCAGGAGGTTTTTTCTGGGGTGGTTTGTTTCTGCTGCTGTTGAAGTTTGTATTATGTTTGGACTTCAGCGGCGTTTGCACAATTTCTTCCAGTATGCCGCGCAGAACCGCAAGCATGACTTACGCGTGACTCTCATTTCTCTGCATTCAGACTGGGAAACACGGAAACACTGACGGGTGACAGGCCTGACTTTCGCCGACGTCTGTAGCAGAGATGGCATCGTGTGTAAAGCAATGAAACCGAGGTTTACTGGCGTACCTTTTTCGATTCAGATGCGCTCACGGACTCCAAGGCATCAGCAGTCTGGAGTGTTGCATTCCATTCAGGAGCTTTAGAACTTTGGGGCATCTGGTTCAGAGAGAAATTGAGAGGAATATTACGCAGTTAGTCGAGTCCGCGTTGGGCAATTCAGGTGAAGATGCCACGGTGCTTTGTACTATGGAATCTCGCAATGTTCATGCAGGTCCCCGTAATCGAGTTTGACGAGTACGTCGCGGCCCCAGAGCAGAAGGTACCCGCTCCGAACCGCAGGCGCACGCACGCATGCAGCATGCACGCACGCACTCGTGCACCCACGCACACACCTGCATCCACCACACACACAGCAAAACGACAGTCCAACTGCTCGAGCTTTTTCTGCAGACGAGCTGTGCATGTGCGAACTCGTTCCTGAGTTGGCGGGGCCGGTTGAACGGAATGCCTTCCCCTGAAGAAGTGTGATGTCATGATCTTCTGTTATCTTTTGCAATTAGTGTTGCTTGCCAGGTCAAAGCGGTCGGGGGGCAGTCTGTGGACATGGCCGTGTCTTTCGAGACCGATCAGCTCTTGAAGCAGAAGGACCTGACAGCCAATAGCAATCGGCAGCCACAGGATTCTCCAAATGCCTCACGATTGCGACCCAAGGCTAATTGAAATTGAAATGGAAGGAGCAGCTGACAGGTGGCAGCGGCAAGTTCATGGGATTTGCAGGGAGCATCAGCGACTGCAAGACCAAATATGTGTGCAGAGCTCAGCATTCTGCTCTAGATGTGACTTCCAAACTCGCAGCAGCAGCTTTCTTGGTGCCGGCGAGGAAGCCGCTGGAGTTCCGCAAGCTAGCGACTGGCGAGTTTCAGATCGTGTGACCTGCGCGAACCGTTCAGTGAAAGTCAGACACTGCATTGCTTGCTCGTCCGACTCGGCCCTGAGCGTCGGCTTAACTCAGCAACGCTAGGTACGCAGGGCACTGTGATGGCGCGATCGCTGCAAAGGTCCAGCACATGAGTCCAACACAACTTGTAGCTGTTTGAGCATGCTGCGGCATGAAGACATTGCATCCTACCAGCATCGAGAGATCTAGGAAAGTCTGGTTTTTTAAAGTTCTTTTTTGCATCTCGCTTCTTAGCAGTAGAAGCCATGCAGACCGAACGGTTCCGAGTGTGCTCCAAAGCTTGTCAAAGACCTAGCCTTTACTTGTAGCTCGTTTCTTTCGAAGGAGCTGCGCTGTGCCTCGCTAGACGGGCCGTGGCCACAGGGAGCATTGCCCTGAGAGCTGGCGGGACGCGTGTGGACCACTTTGGACTGCTGTGGGTAAAAGCTGTTGGGGACCGAGTGGTGCGGTTCTGCCCTTTTGCAGGGTTACCTGCGTGCTAGGTTCGCCTGGCGACAAGCCACTCACTAGACCATTGACATAGACGGACAGCAGGAGTTCGGGGAGTCATTCCCCTTGCCCTCCCGACACAGTCAAGGTGGTGGATCTTGTCCTCGCCTTGACGTCGAAGGCCGGAATCAGATTGGATTGTCGTTGCTATGTATTTGCTGTCCGTATTAGCTGAGGGCGCGTGCAGCGCCAACGACAGCAAGCATGTTCGCATTGACGCGTGGCTTTGGAAGGTCGGTTCTGTGCTGCTGAAGAATTACGATTATCTTCTGGCCCCTGACAGTGAGCAGCTGGATGAGCTTGGTCTGAGGCCCAGACAGCAGGCTCTGTGTGGAACGTTTACTTGCTGTCTTATCTGTCTTTTTTAGCTTCTTACTTCCGCCGCCGTGTCTCTGGCTTACTCTCTGTCGACACGTGATACAATCCAGCATGTATGTTGTTGTTATCCGCGCATGCTCACCGGTCGCTTCTCAGACGTGCGCGTGTCTATATCCTCGTAGTTGCGGTCTGTCCTTGTAGATTGTTTCCGTTTTGCATTATGTAGTGGCTTTGCAGTTTACAGCATTCGACAGCCTGACCGTCCTGTGCTGGATTACCTATGCACTCGAATGCTGCAAGTACTTTCTTTGTTGCTTCAGTACATGTCAGCCGCAACCAGAGAACAAGAGGACTCAGGCAAGCCGAGAGATCATAGGGGCTCAAATTTGCAACGCACAAATTTTCTTGTGGTTCTCAGGTCTCCGGGAGTCGATGCTCTTCGCAGCGGACGGTAGGGTTTCTGTGAGGGATCTGTAGAAGAAATCTTACTCCTTGCCGAGACTTCTCGCTTGCATCTGCTGCACCTCGGCTACACAGGACTTGAGAGCTCATGCAGATGAGCTGCGACCTCGGTGATTATTGATGACTGGCTCATGAAAGCCGAAAGGGGACTTGCTAGGGCCAATCTGCAGTCGGAAGTCCGAGATAGTCCGAGAAGTTTGAACGGGCATCCTCCGCCTCTTTCGAGGTTCATCCAGAATGCGTTTCAGGGCGAAGGGTACGTGTCCGCGCACTGCCGACGAACGGACCGCCTTGGATGCCTCGCAAGCTTGCCTTAGCTCGCGGGTCTCAGATGGCTGCAGGATTTCTTGAGAGCTCGGGAGAAGACCACCCCCGACGTGTCCAACATAGCTTTGACGCTTGGCCGGCTTGGTCTTGCAGCTGCTGACATCAGAATATCGTTCAACACCGTGTCGCCGTGGTGCAGTCTGCACATGCTTGCAGTGCTCCGATGTGACCTAAGTTTCATCTTGTGGTGCCCAAGGAAGCTGAACGAGGTGCTGGAGCAGCTGGGGGCTGAGATGCTTGTCCATGCGCAGCTCGCCAACTGATTCCCTGGCAAGCTGACTGACCCTTCATCTGTCTGTGAGGGTATGCAGTGGCCCAGTAGCATCGGTGTAGAGGGTGCGCGCCTTCTCCCCCTGCCGCCGATCACAAGCACAGTGCTCCGCTGAGGGAAGGGCTGAAGCAGGCGGGCCTGACAGAATAGCGGAAGTGCTGCCGTCTGATGGAGCAGCCACGCTTGAGTGCGCCATTGCCAGGTCTTCATTGCTACCGATGCACCCGATGACCTCAGAGCTGCGCTGCAGGATCAGGTTCGGTGACACGGTCACGTTGGCAAGTTCGACAACAATACTTCTGAGCCTAGGCCTTGTGAGCTCTCGTTGTCGATTTATACTTCCAAGCTGAGTTGGAGGTGCACGGAGTCGTTGTCTTCTACGCCTGGGGCCCGGTGAGTGACATTCAGAGTCGGCCGGGTTTTGTCCGGAATGTGCAACTTGGTGCCATGATGGTGCAAGGATAAGAAGAGCGGTGCCAAGCAATTCGACCACAAGGGCAAGCAGGCCATCATCCGCGGCGAGGGTTGGGCTGTCCAAGTCAGGTACGTTGAGTTGCTGCCCATGTATCCTAGTTGTTGCTGAAGAGATGACGGCAGCATCGTGTACCCGAAAGACCCCGCGAAGATCAAATTAATGTTGGTACTACTCCGATGCTGCTACAGTGTGTCTGCAACCATGCGCCATTCCGTCGGCACTGGCTCAACGGCCAACCCGCACTCTGGCAGATGCCGGCAATCAGACGCTTGGCTTGTGAGAGCCACAATCATGCCTTAGCTCAGCTTTCAAAAGCCCCCAAGAAGCTTCTTGCAACGCGGATCTGTAGTGCAGCGTCTGGCAGCGTCGGAAGAAGCCAAGGAGCTTCCAGCCTGAAGCGGCAACTCGTCTTTGAGCTACGTTCAGACAGAGGATCATGTCGAGTCAAGAACCTCTCTGCGTGACCGCTTCGTGATCACAAAGCCTCGCAGCATCGTCGGTAGGAAGTTTGCAGAAGTTGGCTTGCCTTTGCTGAACCAGAGCCGGGGGCACGGCATGCTGAGCATCGCTGAGCCGAGGCAGTCTGCATCTTTTTGTTTCATCGTCTTGCTGGCTCCTCAGCTCTGCCGGAGGGAGGGAAGGGAGGAGCTGCTGGTGGTGTAGCTGTAGCTGTGAGTAGCTTCTTTCGCTGCATTCTTCTTCGCATCTCCTGTCTCCCATGGCATGTGCACACCCTTGTGCATCGAGGACAGCCGTGATGGCTTCTGAAGAGCGACCGCAGCGAAACGCTGTGGCACTTCCGCTTCGCGGACAGCTTTGCTGTCAGCGAGCTTAGACCCTTTCAACACCCACATCAAACCAGCCCATTCGGGCCTCAGCACAAGGCAGCCAACCTGAAGCAAAGCCAGAGAAAGATCAAGATGTTTGCGAGTCATACGAGCTTAAAGAATCTGAAGTTCATCGTGCAACTCATCCTGGCCCTAGCTCAGCACGACAATTCCAAAGCATTGCCCGGCACAACCAAATATTGTCCCAGAAAGGCAACTGAGCTACACTCGTCGTATGTGTTCACAGGAAGTGCACGGGAACTCAGCATAAACCACAAGCCACTCCACGACACTTCTTCCACATCATCGCCATCTCTCACTTCCAGGACGGGTGAGGGCATTTTGGGGTTCGTGCAGTGTTCCGTCAGAAGCTCCAGCTTTCCAGGACTTGGTGGCCCGTGGCTCCAGCTCCTTTCAGAGCAACAAACGGAGTCCAAAATCTGTACTCAGTCAAAGCCTCTTTGGTTTTACACAGACTTCACGGAGCCGTGGAGCCACGGGACGCCGAAACGCCGCGAGCCAGAGAAGGGAAGCAGAAGCCCTCCGATGTCGAGCCTCTCCGTCGAGGTGCCAGCACGCTTTTTGTTTGCTTCCGGACCCTTCCTGGTTTTTGTGGGAGAAAGGGTTGCTTTTGCTGTGAATCGCTGAGTCTTATTACGTGATTTTGTGTGCTTGATGCTTGTTCAGGCCACGATGATTCCCCCCCTACCAACACCAGGCATGTGGCAGGCTGGCTTTTCGGCCTTCCAGGGGGGATGCAGGATGAGGTAGGGATCCGAAGTTTCTGGCTCCATGCTTCAGGTGAAGCCGTCTCCTCGTGTCGATGTGCCATTTCCAGAGCTCCCGTCCGATGCAGACACGGAGGGGCTCCGGGGCTCCCAGGGCTCCCAGGGAGGGTGTGAAAAAGGCTCGAAGCCTCGAAGCCTCCTGATCCTGCACTGTGTTGGGCTTCCAGGAGCTGCCGTCCTGGCGCACAGGGCTTCACAGTGCCCGACACCTACTGCGACGAGGGATGAGGGATCAGGGCCGAAGGGTCGGCACAGATCAGGATTGGCGGCTCCGATTGGGCCCGTCGGTCTTTGACATCCACAAGGCTGGGGAGCGAGGGAGGCTCTGGGACGGGGCCGTGGCTGTTTTGCGCTCCTTTGCCAGCAGGTCTTGACGGGCCATGGACCACGGGCCTCGGCATTTCTCTGCAGTGCGAGGGCCCCAATGGGTAAAGCGAGTCGAGCTCAGAGAGAGCAGAGAGCAGAGACTGGGAACCGGCAGTTTCCTTGAGGCCTTCACAACCGGCCAGCAGCTGGCGACTGGGGGCCCTGCGGGTCCCGCGGGCCATGTGCAAGCCTCAGTTGGCCCTTCTTGCTCTGAGCGCGTCTCGAGCTGCATCGGAAGGCCGGGGCCTACGGAGCATATGACGGGATGTATGACGAATCGGGTGGAGGCACACTTTCACTCCGTGCATCTCCCATGCAGATGTGATTGAAGATGATTGAAGCAAAGAAAGTGGTCGGGAACCGACTGCATCAAACCCAGATCCGGCGACTACAGCAGATGTGGTGCATGCTGTTACGACTCCCCAATCCAAAACAGGATGTGGCCGCATTTTCGAGACAGACTTGTCGCACATCTTGCCCGAGCAGGTCGGGGAGCCGAGATCTTCGGAGTAGATTCGAAGAAGCATGTCGCAGCTCTTGCTCTCAGGTGTGGCCCTTCTTTTCTCAAGCGTTGGATTTCATCTACTCCGAGGCCTGTGGCCTCGTGGCAAAGTGTTTCGTCACATGCCACCGTGGCGCAGGATTTGGTCTTGAATGAGGAGAATGCCGTTCCACTACTCAGGTGTGCTGAGAGCTTAGCTCGGTCGGTTGAGTCTTGGTGCCAACTTTCATGCAGCGCTCATGCGGAGGCGCGCTTTGTGTAGCATAGCACGATGGGTTTGGACTGGGGTTTCGGGCAGATGTCGCACACCCAGGGGGTGGTGCGATCCTACGGAACACTGTTGTAGAAGCAGCTTGTAAGACTGGACCGTGAAAGGGGCTTGGGATTTGCAGCGTTCCCTTGTAGCTTTGAGTTGAGCAGCTTGCAGACCACTAGTGTCATTCAGCGCTTAGGGACTAGACTTTACTAATTGATACTACTTGCGGCACACTGACTCAGCAGAACTTTGTCGTGTCTACTGGGGAGAGGATACTGCTACAGTATCTTGCAACCGCCGTGCTGTCCAGGCTCCAGTGAGATTGTTGTTTGCCAACCAGACTGAGTGTCATTGAGCATTGTCCGGAGGGCACGGATGTGCAAGAGCACAGAGGCACGTGCAGAGCTGCCCTGCGCAATTCCCAGCTTGCAGACCATGGCCGGCCATCGGCCGGACCTTGGCGGATGAGGCCGGAGCCTGGAATTCAAAGCCGGAGCATGCCGGATCATGCTGGAGCTGTGTGCAGGGCGACCTCGTGCTTCGCCTTGCTCGGATGTTTGGTGCCACCCTCAGCATGTCAGACTCCAAAAGCCTCGGATTCCGATCCCTGGAAGCAAACACCTCGTCCACTTGAGGTGCAGACACTTCCTTGCGTCAGTGCATTCCGGGAAGATGCCTCAGCCCCCAGCTGCAGGAAAAATCGTTCGGAGTTTGTTTGGATTCGCAGGGTTGGGCGTTTCGTTCCCGAAGTACTCGTGCGGCAACCCGGGCAAGTTGGTGCTGAGAGCTGGATTTTCTTCTGCGTTGGTGGGGACGGGAGCTTTGCTGCCGCATCTGCCGCTCAACTGCCTGATTTGCTGAGCCGGACGTTTACGAGACTAATCACAAAAGCAAGCGGAGCCTTGAGTTGGTGCTGCATTTGGACAGATCAGGGTCCGGGAAAGCAGCGAACACTTCATCATAGAAAAGGCGGCTTCACTTCTTTCTCTCTCAGTTCTTGCTCTTCCTCTTCTTTCTCGCTATCTCTCTCTGCAGAGACAGCAGCTGTGTGGGCCAAGAGCAAGTATTCGTCGCCCTCTGCTTGCCCCTCAAGTTACCTTTCGAGTCAAGTCTCGTGCAGGCCCCTGTGCAGCACTTGCTGGCCCCTTCCGAATCAGACCCAACTGGGCCCAGGCCATCGCCCGTCGCAGTGAGGTGGCGTCCTCGACTGTCAGGTCAGAAGCTGCCAGGAGCATCCATTGCTTCAAACAAATTCGGCGTAGGGGAACGCTAGGCGGGTGAAGCTGCGAAGGTTTCACGCGTTACACGAGGACTGCCTAACACCGGGAGGAGGAGAATTGGGGATTAGGGTTTCGTTTTTTTTTCTCTGGGGATTTTCGGGTTCAGGGTTTCGGGTTTGGGGACGCGTGGCCGGGACTGAGCCGTATCACTCGTGACACTTGTGTCACGGCCTGACACGTGCAGCTTCGCAGCTTCTGTCGAGTTTCGCATATCCGGGTTTTCCATGGTATAGCGCAACAGCCGTGAAGTTCGAAAGTCCAGCATTTGTGTCCGCCTGTGCTTCGCAAAGGGCTTCTCCTGGCAGCATCTGCACATCGTTGCGAAGGCAGGGTTGAAGGTGTTTGATTTGTGATCGCGACCCCCGGAGCACAACGCGAGGGTTCCAAGGGCCCTGACCAGGCTGACGGAGATGACGACTGGTGGTACCCGAGTCGTCAGGCCAGCCTAATCCGATGCACAAGTTCAGTCACTGTTTGCTGCGCAACAGCAGAATGCTT